CTCACTCACCCACCCACCCACTCACTCACCCACCCACTCACCCACTCACCCACTCACTCACTCACCCACTCACCCACTCACCCACCCACTCACTCACCCACTCACCACTGCCACTCACCTCTGATGATGTCTCCACTCACCCTGGTAGACGTCACCATTGCTGTAAGTGTAAACTCACCACTCACTCACCCACTCACTAACTCACTCACCCACTCACTCACTCACCCACTCACCCACCCACTCACTCACCCACCCACCTCTGATGATGTCTCCACTCACCCTGGTAGACGTCACCATTGCTGTAAGTGTAAACTCACCACTCACTCACCCACTCACCCACTCACTCACCCACTCACCCACTCACTCACCCACTCACTCACTCACCCACTCACCCACTCACTCACTCACTCACCCACTCACTCACTCACTCACCCACTCACTCACTCACTCATCCACTCACTCACTCACTCACCCATTCACTCACTCACCCACTCACCCACCCACTCACCCACCCACTCACCTCTGATGTCTCCACTCACCCTGGTAGACGTCACCATTGCTGTAAGTGTAAACTCACCACTCACTCACCCACTCACTCACTCACCCACCCACCCACTCACCCACTCACTCACTAACCCATCACTCACTCACTCACTCACCCACTCACTCACCCACTCACCCACCCACTCACCCACCCACTCACTCACTCACCCACTCACCCACCCACTCACCTCTGATGATGTCTCCACTCACCCTGGTAGACGTCACCATTGCTGTAAGTGTAAACTCACCACTCACTCACCCACTCACTCACCCACCCACTCACTCACTCACCCACTCACTCACCCACCCACTCACTCACTCACCCACTCACCCACTCACTCACCACTCACTCACCCACTCACCCACCCACTCACTCACTCACTCACCCACTCACTCACCCACTCACTCACCCACTCACCCACTCACTCACCTCTGATGATGTCTCCACTCACCCTGGTAGACGTCACCATTGCTGTAAGTGTAAACTCACCACTCACTCACTCACTCACCCACTCACCCACCCACTCACTCACCCACTCACTCACCCACTCACCCACTCACTCACTCACTCACCCACTCACTCACCCACTCACTCACCCACTCACCACTGCCACTCACCTCTGATGATGTCTCCACTCACCCTGGTAGACGTCACCATTGCTGTAAGTGTAAACTCACCACTCACTCACCCACTCACTCACCCACTCACTCACCCACTCACTCACTCACTCACCCACTCACCCACCCACTCACTCACCCACTCACTCACTCACCCACCCACTCACCCACCCACTCACCCACTCACCTCTGATGATGTCTCCACTCACCCTGGTAGACGTCACCATTGCTGTAAGTGTAAACTCACCACTCACTCACCCACTCACCCACCCACTCACTCACCCACTCACCCACTCACCCACCCACTCACCCACTCACCACTGCCACTCACCTCTGATGATGTCTCCACTCACCCTGGTAGACGTCACCATTGCTGTAAGTGTAAACTCACCACTCACTCACCCACTCACCCACTCACCCACCCACTCACTCACCCACTCACTCACCCACCCACTCACTCACCACTGCCACTCACCTCTGATGATGTCTCCACTCACCCTGGTAGACGTCACCATTGCTGTAAGTGTAAACTCACCACTCACTCACTCACCCACTCACTCACCCACTCACTCACCCACTCACCCACTCACCACCCACCCACTCACCTCTGATGATGTCTCCACTCACCCTGGTAGACGTCACCATTGCTGTAAGTGTAAACTCACCACTCACTCACCCACTCACTCACTCACCCACCCACCCACTCACTCACTCACTCACCCACTCACCACTGCTACTCACCTCTGATGATGTCTCCACTCACCCTGGTAGACGTCACCATTGCTGTAAGTGTAAACTCACTCACTCACTCACCCACTCACCCACTCACTCACTCACCCACTCACTCACCCACCCACTCACTCACTCACCCACTCACTCACTCACTCACCCACTCACTCACCCACCCACTCACTCACTCACCCACTCACTCACCCACTCACTCACTCACTCACCCACTCACCCACTCACTCACCCACCCACTCACTCACTCACCCACTCACTCACTCACTCACCCACTCACTCACCCACCCACTCACTCACTCACCCACTCACTCACCCACCCACTCACTCACTCACCCACTCACTCACTCACCCACTCACCCACCCACTCACCTCTGATGATGTCTCCACTCACCCTGGTAGACGTCACCATTGCTGTAAGTGTAAACTCACCACTCACTCACCACTCACCCACTCACTCACCCACCCACTCACTCACCCACCCACTCACCCACTCACCCACCCACTCACCCACTCACCCACTCACTCACCCACTCACCCACTCACCCACTCACTCACCCACTCACTCACCCACTCACCCACTCACTCACCCACTCACTCACCCACTCACCCACTCACTCACCTCTGATGATGTCTCCACTCACCCTGGTAGACGTCACCATTGCTGTAAGTGTAAACTCACCACTCACTCACCCACCCACCCATCCACTCACTCACCCACCCACTCACTCACCCACTCACTCACTCACCCACCCACTCACTCACCCACCCACCCACTCACCCACTCACTCACCCACTCACTCACCCACTCACCCACTCACCCACCCACTCACTCACTCACTCACCCACTCACTCACCCACTCACTCACTCACTCACCCACTCACCACTGCCACTCACCTCTGATGATGTCTCCACTCACCCTGGTAGACGTCACCATTGCTGTAAGTGTAAACTCACCACTCACTCACCCACCCACTCACTCACCCACTCACCCACCCACCCACTCACTCACCCACTCACCCACTCACTCACTCACCCACTCACCCACCCACTCACCCACCCACTCACCTCTGATGATGTCTCCACTCACCCTGGTAGACGTCACCATTGCTGTAAGTGTAAACTCACCACTCACTCACCCACTCACTCACTCACCCACTCACTCACTCACCCACTCACCTCTGATGATGTCTCCACTCACCCTGGTA